CCCCAAAACCCCAAAACCCCAAAACCCCAAAACCCCATGAAGTGAAATATAGCAATATTATAGGCAGATTGCATTTATATCAGAAAGATAGTTAAGATTTTGCAATTTTGTTAAATTTAGCTATGTATGTTACTTTTTATATTCGACTCACAGGAAATAGTCGGGCGTTCTTCTAGTGACATGAGGCTCTCCTCTTCTTGGTGCAGGATCGAAAACCAAGAAGTTATAATTCATATTTTCATCTACTTCCATTATGCCCGCTTCGTTGGCACATCTATAGCAATAGTTGGGTGCTGAGAAAATAGTCACAACATTTTTATCATGACTCCAGTTATATCCGTTCATCACTAACTAATGAGCTCTGGAGACTAACTTAAGTCCATTTGTATGATTGAATTGCTCTGATATATCCTAACCAAAGGTGTATCCAGCTCCTCTTGGGGAAATGCCCCATCCACATCTATCATCTGGATCTGACCATAGTAAATCACACATAGGACCCTCGTGTGGGACTTCTTGAACTCTATCTAGGCCTTTAATTTAATCAAGACTGTCCAAACTTGGAGATAGGCCACCATGTAGACAGAAGATTTTGCCTTCTATAACTGCAGTCAAGGGAAGTAAATCGAAAAGGTCAGTGAAGTATTTCCAGACATTAGCATTACCGTATTTTCTCAGACACTCATCATAGAAACCATAAACCTAAGTGATTTGCCTAGACTCATGGTTACCTCTCAATATGGTAATTCTGTCCTTGAATCTGACTTTTAGACAAACTAATAGAGTTACAGTCTCGACTGAGTAATAACCTCTGTCAACATAGTCTCCCATGAAGAGATAGTTCGTGTCTGGGGATCTTCCTCCAATTCTAAATAACTCCATTAAGTCATGGAATTGACCGTGAATATCACCGCAAACAGTGACTGGACATCTGACTGGCTGTACGTTGCTCTCCTTCTATAAGATCTCCTTTGCCTTATCGCATAGTTATTTAACCTCATGCTCTGGAATTGGCTTATAGTCCATCAATTATTCAATTTATCTATCGAGAGTAGTAATATCCTCGTTATTTAGGATGTTAAGCATTTTGTTTAAACTTTACAAGTCCCTATTTAAAGCAATTTAAATATATTTATATAATTTACTGTATTCAATCAAAATTATTGCGACTGGGGTTTTGGGGTTTTGGGGTTTTGGGGTTTCT